GCGTGCGTGCGTGCGTGCGTGCGTGCGTGCGTGCGTGCGTGCGTGCGTGCGTGCGTGTGTGTGTGTGTGTGTGTGTGTCTGTGTCTGTGTCTGTGTCTGTGTCTGTGTTTGTGTCTGTGTCTGTGTCTGTGTCTGTGTCTGTGTCTGTGTCTGTGTCTGTGTCTGTGTCTGTCTGTGTGTCTGTGTGTCTGTGTGTCTGTGTGTCTGTGTTTGTATGTGTGCGTGTTTTTATTGGAGGGGGGGCTCGGCGGATCCATGCCCTGTCTCCGAGAGTTCTAAGCAACCCCCATAGGGAGAGGAGGTGGAGGGGGAGGAGAAGGACAAGGACGAGGACGAGGGGAACTGGAGAAAAAACAGGGGGGGGAGGAGGAGGAGGAGGAGGAGGAGGAGGAGGAGGAGGAGGAGAGAGGAGGACGGGGAGGAGGAGTTGGAAGAGGAGGAGGAGGCGGAGGAGGGGGGGGAGGAGGAGGGGGGGCGGATGCACAGACCCCAGTTTGATGTCAGCTGACGAGCAGACCGCGCGCAGTTCCCCAAGCAACCCAGAAGCTTGAGCAACTCAGATGGCTTGCCCAAACACATAGGACACGCGGTTCGGGCCCCCGTTTCATTCCTCATCCCATCCGTAGCTTTTCCGCGTCAAGTGTGGGAACTGGTGCCGAATAGTGACGACGATGCGGCCCCGGCGGTCCCAGTCGCCACGCCGCAGGCCGCTGCCAAATCTGTCGTCGGCCAGCCGCCAGGGCTAGGCAACAGGAGTTGCAGGGACTTTCGTGATGAGTTGTTGGCTCGCGCAGGTGGCGCTGTGGGCTTGGCTCCAGCGCCAGCGGCGCCGCTAGTGCAGCCGCCCCCCCAAGCAATGCAGCTTGGATTTTTGCGGCGCAGCGTCTCTTTCGCAGGCGTGCAAGGCATGGTTCTCGCAGCCGCCATTCGACATAGCGGTGATGTCGATGAAGCTGTGGACAAGCTCGCTGGCCACTGCTTGGGCGATCGGCCCCGCAAATCCACGCCGCTAGCGGCCGAGGCCGCGGCGCTTGGGAAATCCAGCCCAGGTTTCAAAGATAACGTCATTGAGCTTGCAGCGGCTGTTCATTGGGGGACCACGGTGTGGATTTTCAGTTTCTGCCAACACATATTAACAGCAATCTCCATGGGCCTCCTCAAGCCAATCGCTAGTTTGAGGGAGTTTCTGTGGAACTCACGTCATCCTCACCCCCGGCGCGAAGAGCACGAGCCCAGAGCGGCCTCCGGCACCGTTTCCGGACGGATCCGCTGGATCTCACCCGACGTTAAGGTGTGCCCTTGGCGCCTGGGGTCGACTGACTCCCCTTCTGGGCCTTCTTCGCGGGCGCGCAGCATGCATGCATGCAGTAGATGGCAACGTAGCACCGTCACATAGTTACACGTATACAAACGCACATGCATCTTCACATCCATACATACATACATACATACATACATACATGCATACATACATGCATACATACATAATGAGGGGGTTCCCCCAACGATGATCACCCTGATGCGGCGGCGACGGGTCCGTCGGGGACAGATGCGCAAAAACGATCTGTCCGCCGCACGGAACTATTGAGAAGTTATTGTAAAAAGTTGTGCGATGTGCGATGGGCGCGCCGTGGACAGTGAAGTTCAACCATGCGTGGCGCGCAATTTGTTCGGTGCGACGGCGACGGCGGGTGGCCAGACAGATGCACAGCACGTAACCAAGCACGTTCGCCGACGGTGCGACAGCGACCGGCGAGGCCGCGACAGATAGACAGTTCGTTTGTTTCCGGAGAACTCCTAAGATAGACTGTGGGAAGGATGGGGATGCCATTCTGCCTCACCCTTGGTGCCTTTGCAGGGCCGCTTGGGGCCGTTTCGCCTGAGACGTCGTCGCAGCATGGAGACGTCGGCCCGAGAAAAGCCAACGTGGCCTTCACCATGCACACACATCTCTGCAGCGCACGCAATGGCCAAAACACAATATAAAAATCCCACCAGCCCTTTGGGCGTGAGTGGTTTAAAGAGCCCTCTCTGTCCTCAACCCCCTTCTTCCCCTTGGGGGAGGGGTTTACCCCTCCCCCTACCCCCTCCCCCTGGGCCTGGAAGGGGCGTTTCGCGGGTCGTTGGGTCACCGAAGATGGCCTAAGATGGCGCCAAGAGGGCCCAAGAGAGCTCAAGGTGACCTCCAAGATCGCTCAAGATAGCCCTCGATGACTCAATATAGCTCCCAACATGCGTACAAGACGCTCCAAGACCGCCCCAAGACGGCTCCACGTGGTCACGGGGCCCCCGATGCATCATGTAATTGTTTTATACCATCGGAGGCCATGTTAAGTTCAAAACTCAACGGTCAAAACCCAATGTAAATATTAACTATCTGGGCCCAAGGGGCTGCCACATAAGCGTGGAATATATACAACCAATACAATATGCGAGGCGCGCGCGCGCTGGCGACCCGCGCGGGGCCGGGTCACCCGCGCGCGCGATGCATCCTGCATTGGTTTTATTCCATCGGAGGCCATGTTAAGGTGAAAACTCAACTGTCGAAACCCAATGTAAAAATTCATTCTCTGGGCCCAAGAGGCGGCCATATAAATGTGGAAAATATACAAACCAATACAATATGCGAAGCGCGCGGGCGCGCTGGTGACCCGCGCGGTGCCGGGTCACCCGCGCGCGCGCGCGATGCCTCCTGTATTGGTTTTATACAATCGGAGGCCATGTTAAGTTGAAAACTCAATGATCAAAACCCAATGTAAATATTCATTCTCTGGGCCCAAGAGGCGGCCATGCCAACGTCAAATATAGAAAACACAATACAATATGCGAGGCGCGCGGGCGCGCTGGTGACCCGCGCGGTGCCGGGTCACCCGCGCGCGCGCGATGCCTCCTGTATTGGTTTTATACAATCGGAGGCCATGTTAAGTTGAAAACTCAATGATCAAAACCCAATGTAAATATTCATTCTCTGGGCCCAAGAGGCGGCCATGCCAACGTCAAATATAGAAAACACAATACAATATGCGAGGCGCGCGGGCGCGCTGGTGACCCGCGCGGGGCCGGGTCACCCGCGCGCGCGCGCGATGCCTCCTGTATTGGTTTTATACAATCGGAGGCCATGTTAAGTTGAAAACTCAATGATCAAAACCCAATGTAAAATTCATTCTCTGGGCCCAAGAGGCGGCCATATAAATGTCAAATATAGAAACCAATACAATATGCGAGGCGAGCGCGGGCGCGCTGGTGACCCGCGCGGGGCCGGGTCACCCGCGCGCGCGCGCGATGCATCCTGTATTGGTTTTATACAATCGGAGGCCATGTTAAGTGAAAACTCAATTGTCAAACCCAATGTAAAAATTCATTCTCTGGGCCCAAGAGGCGGCCATGTGGCAAACCAATACAATATGCGAAGCGCGCGGGCGCGCTGGTGACCCGCGCGGTGCCGGGTCACCCGCGCGCGCGCGATGCCTCCTGTATTGGTTTTATACAATCGGAGGCCATGTTAAGTTGAAAACTCAATGATCAAAACCCAATGTAAATATTCATTCTCTGGGCCCAAGAGGCGGCCATGCCAACGTCAAATATAGAAAACACAATACAATATGCGAGGCGCGCGGGCGCGCTGGTGAACCGCGCGGTGCCGGGTCACCCGCGCGCGTGCGCGATGCCTCTTGTATTGGTTTTATACAATCGGAGGCCATGTTAAGTTGAAAACTCAATGATCAAAACCCAATGTAAATATTCATTCTCTGGGCCCAAGAGGCGGCCATGCCAACGTCAAATATAGAAAACACAATACAATATGCGCGGCGAGCGCGGGTGCGCTGGTGACCCGCGCGGTGCCGGGTCACCCGCGCGCGCGCGCGATGCCTCCTGTATTGGTGCTAGACAATCGGAGACCATGTTAAGTTGAAAACTCAATGATCAAACCCCAATGTAAATATACATTCTCGAGGCCCAAGAGGCGGCCATGTAAACCTTGGCAGGTCTTAGCAGCATTTCCATTCCCCTCCGTTTGGGTAACTGGAAGAAATGGGCCGCCACCAATGGATAGACGCCCCCCGCCAGTCAAGCCGCGCCGAGGGTGCGACGGCGCCCGGGGGATGGGCAGATAGACGGACAGAAGATGCGCAGACGTATCGGTGCGACGGCGCCTGGGGGCATAGATGTAGATACATGGATACGCCGCGCCAGCCAAGCAAAGCCGACGGTGCGGCGGCGAACGCTTTTTGAATATTGACCAGAACGGAGATCAATACAGGGGAACCCCCTTATCATACATACATGCATACAAACATACATATGTGTATATACATTTGCGTACATGCATGCATACATGCCTAGTCACACAGTGTACTTACATATGTGGATACGTGCGTGCATATACTCGCGCACACGTATTAGTATACATGCATTCACAGCTGTATACATAGAAGTCGATATGTGTCCCTGGTGTATATATATGTATGGAAATGTATACATACATGGATACAAATGCACATGCATGCATCTGTATTCATGTATACATAGATGCGTCAACATATATATCTACACATAGCACGTATATAACTGCATACATTTATATAAATATATAACCACGAAGAACTGCAGTTGATTCCGTATGGCAAGACGTCGTCTATGTATAATACATATATACATATATATATATATATATATTATACATAGATACAGCCGCGCATCATTATACCAGCTTCCTTATGCAATTCGGGTCGCTTTGTGACCTTCTGGGGCGCGTTCTGACCTTCTGGGAACACCAGTGGATTTTATATGGCGCGATCTGACCTCCTGACCTGAATATCGACGCGAATCAAGCCGTGGCGACGAATGCTCTCCAGGACCCCCAGGGATCCGACGTCGTGACTTCTCGTCTTCCCTTCCCGCAGCCATTTAGGCTCACGCCTTCGAGCCACCGCCTTCCTGCGGGAAGGCTCCCAGCGCGCGGCGGGCATGGCTGCGCGTTCCCGCTCGAGGTCGCCGCGCTGCGGCGGGTCGAGCCCATCAGTGTGCCCCGTTGGTCCTCCTCCTCCTTCTCCTCCTCCTCCTCTTCCTCCTCCTCCTCCTCCTCTTCCTCCTCCTCTTCCTCCTCCTCCTCCTCCTCCTCCTCCTGCTCCTCCCCCCCCATTCTTCCTCCTCCCCCTCCCCCTCCTCCTCCTCCTCCTCCTCGTCCTCCTCCTCCTCCTCCTCCTCCTCCGCCTCCCCCATCCACCTCTCTTCGGTGGCGGCGCGGCTCCGGCGCCCGTGGACTCGGTGGACTTCTGGGACAAGGGCGAGGCGGACAAGGGCGAGGTGGACACCTGGGACACTGGCGAAGTGGAGGACAAAGACGACTCCCAGGGCGTGGTGGTGGAGCCCGCGAGGACGGACGGCGTGCACGAGGACGAATACGGCATGCACGAGGACGAATACGGCATGCACGAGGACGAATACGGCATGCACGAGGACGACGAGTACGTCATGCACGAGGACGACGAGTACGGCATGCACGAGGACGAGTTCTACGGCATGCGCGAGGACGACGTCGAGTTCTACGGCTTGCGCGAGGACAGGAACGAGTTCTACGGCATGCACGAGGACGAGGACGAGCCCTACGGCAAGGCTCCAGCGACGGTGGAACCCGGGCAGGAGTGGCGCTACGTGAAGCTCCTCGGCCTCAGCGAGGAGCTCGAGGGGCCCGTCGTGGGGCCCGTCGTGGGCTCATGGGCCGATTGCTGGCATCAGGACTCATGGGCCGATGTTCCACCATCACTACCATAGGTAGGATGGGGGAGAAGGAGGGGGGGGTCCTGGATCCTCCTTCTCCTCCTCCCCCTCCTCCTTCTCATCCTTCTCCTTCTTCTCCTCTCCTACCTTTGGAAGTGGTGGTGGGAAAATTGCCCATTGAGGACGGCGACGACCCGCTGAAGGACATCTATCACGACTTGTTGTTCGGGGACGACGAGCCTCCGCCTACGGACTCGGAGATCAAGGAGTGGCTCTACGGCCCAGATATCAAGACGAAGTATGAGTACGACTCCACGTGGAAGTGGAACGACGACCCGCTCAGGGACATCATGAGTGATCTTCGGCGCGGCGGCAGGGATGATGACTTCGCCCGTGGCGCGCCACGCCGCCGCCTCTAGCGCGCCTGTAGCGCGCCTCTCCGCCGCCGCCTGTGCGCGACCCGTCGGCGCCGCCTCGCGCCCTGTGCGCGACCCGTGCCGCTTCGCGCCGCGTGCGCGGCCTGTGCACATTCCTCCAGGGAAGCCCTCGAGGAAACGCACGCCCTCCACCTCCACCTCCACCACCTCCCCCACCTCTTCCCCTCGTGGAACAGACCACACCTACTACTCTCCAAGTCCTTTACCTCTTCCAAGACGTTTTCGGACTTCATGTCTAAATTTGGCATCACTACCACATTGGCTCGTAGGTATTTTGGAATTCCAGAACTAAATTTGGCATCACTACAACAGTGATGGCACCATATTAAGTTTTACATCGCTACAATAGTGATAGCTCAGAATGGTGCATCGTTGGGCCTATCGTAGTCGATCGTCGAACGCATGACGTCCGAGTCGGCCAAAACATACAGAAATGACAGGAATCGATCATCTGTCATCGTCATCGGTCTCGCCATCGCCATTGTCATCGGTCTCGCCATCGCTCGTCATCGTCATCGTCATCGTTTCGTCTTTTCTGTTGCCACGCTGGGCTCGGTTCGTTTTCCCGCGGCGCTCTCCTCGGGCCCAGCGGGGGCCCGGAGAGAGCGAGGGGCCGCTGGCGGCCTGGGGCCCCATCAACATCAGCATCACCATCGCAGGGGAGAGGGAAGGGGGGAATGAAGGAGGAGTCCCCCAGAGCAGAGTCGCCAGGGGCGGCCCCCACGCGCAGGCCCCGAGTGCCCCCTTGTTTGCGCCAGCCGCCTCGCCAGCCAGCGAGGGAGAGCAGGAGCGAGCGTCGGCGGCTCAAGGATACAGTCCTGAGGGTAAAGCGGGAGGACGAGGGTGGGCCTCTCGTCGACTGCGGTGTGCCACCGTTGCTACAGTTTTTGCTCGAGCGATTTCTTTATTGCCACGAGCTTTTCAAAACTTCCTATCCTCTGAAGCTGCTGCGATGACTTCTGCGATGGATGCTCAAGCTTCCGATCCTCTTAAGCTCTTGGTCACCCTCAATGAACTTCCGATCGGCTTCAAGACAGGCTGTATACTTAAGCTACCGCTCCCGATGCCTGATATCTCGGTGCACATCGCAGGCAAAGCCGCACAGGTGCTGCCCGTGAAGCCCCCGACTGTGTGTTCCGACGTAATGTTGGAGATCAGGGGGCGGCCGATCAAGTGCCCAGCTGACGAGGGGCAGCAGAAGTCTTACCAGTGGCTCGACCTGTCCAAGACGGCGCCCGGTGAGCCCATCGAGTTCGGGGGAGAACGTGAGACCCAACCGACTCCCACGCTGCCGCCGCGGCCGCGGAAGCGGCTGCGGAAGCCGACGGCTGAGGCCAACGTGCACAGTTCGCAGCCCGTCGTGCGTTAGGCCAGCTGCATGTACGTTGCGCCCTCTGCTCTCTCCCTGCTCTCTCGTCCCGCTTCGCTGCCGCTGCTACTCTGGCCGATCATCACCGTCGTCAGTCCACGGGGGGGGGGGAGGAGGAGGGGGAGAGGGATGAGGGCGAGGATGAGGAGGAGGAAGAGGATGAGGAGGAGGAGGGAGGCAGGAAAGGGAGGGGTCGCCCGCCCCCGCGCCTGCGGGGCTGCTCCCGCGGGGACGGTAGTCTCTCAGAGAGCGGCCTGCGCCGGCTGAACAGGGGGGGGGGAAGGGGCAGGAGCAGGATCATCATCTTCGGAGGTCTGAAGAGGAGGATGAGGAGGAGGAGGGGGAGGAGGAGGAGGAGGAGGAGGAGGAGGAGGAAGAGGAGGAAGAGGAGGAGGAGGAGGAGGAGGATGGGGGGGAGACGGGGGAGGAGCTAGTTTTTTTATTACAACGTCAGTCATGAGAACAATCTCCCCCTTGGGGCCCTCGGAGCCCCAGGAGCAATTGGCGGTCCAAAGCAAACGCTGTTTGGGGTCCAAGCGCTGTTTGGGGTCCGAGCGCTGTTTTTTTGGCGATCTTGGCACAGCACGTTTCGTTGTCATTAGGTCGTCGCCGAAGTTGAATAGCCACTTTGGCTCGATGAAGTTTAGGAAACGCCGAGCGGCCCAGAAGACCCGCGGCACCCGTTCCTATCCATGGGCGCGCTCTGATGATCGGGGTCTCTGGTGCGCCATTTGTGAGAAGAAGGGCGTTGTTGTCATACCTTGCAAAAGTAATGAACCCAAGAGGAAGACGTTCTGGCTTCGGCGCCATGCCAAATCAAAGGTGCATAAGAATGCAATGGAGTCTGCCCACCCGACTGCCCCGAGCAAGAATGCATTCAAAGCTGTTTATGAAGCTGTGAAGAAAGGCGTGTCCGCTGGGAACAATGGCTTAGCCAACGTCGGGAACAAAGAAAAAATGAGGGACATGATTTATTGTATTGGGGAGGCCGCGAAACGTCATGGCCAGAAATTTCTCTTGAGAGCCGAATCCATCACTTTGTTCAGGGACGCACGGCATAATAGACTTTGCATCAGGTACACTGCTTCGAGGAAGGGTTTCAAAGTTCAGAGCGGTGTTTTGGGGCGGTGTCGTCAAGACGGGCTCTCATCAAAATGCATTGCAAAGGACACAAGCCGCATCATTTCAGAGTTCTGCACGTCATACGCTCGAGGTTCCTGTCCTGAACGGCACCGAGTACTGAGGAGGCGCATCCGGGACCGAGTGCACCAACTTGTTGTAGATTCGGCAGCTGATGAGCTTCTCGCAGGAGAAATGGGCAGGAGAGAGATCTCTAGCGACCTCCGACCAGTGACCCCCAACTGTCGTGTCATACTCCGTGACAAAGCGCACGCTGCTCGGAGGCCGTTGAACAGGCCGTGGACCCGACTTCCTGTCTTGAAGGATCTGATCGAGAGATGGATTTCCAGCCGCCCGTCCCCTGCCCGAATGATTCAGAACTCTCTGGAATTTCGCAGGTGGTTCAAGAGGAACTTGGAAGCAGAGAGCCAGCGACGAGTTTCAGATTTTGCCAATCTTAGGGCAGCCAAACACAGGTTCGAGTCAGTCACGAAACCCCTTCAACGCAGTTGTTTTCATTGCCGTAGCTTGTTGCGCACAATGGTTCAGATTGCAAACTTTCGTCAAGACGAGTTTGGTGACAACGCCGCTGCTGCTTTCCTCAGGTCTGCGAATGCATTCGACACGTTGATGTTGGCTATGTGTGCTGATGCTGCGGACGAGATGCTCTTGTTGATTCGCTTCCACGACAATGAGTCCGCCGACGTGGCTACCATCGCGCAGAAAGTCGACGAGTGCGTGACCAATCTTGGCTGCGCGTGCGACTGGGGAGGCGCGAGGGGGGGGTGCCTCCCCAAAGCCTTGGAGATTCAAGCCCGTGGCGCCAACATGTTTTTTTATAGTTCGTTTTTATTCTCGAAGCCCCATTTTGGGTTCTTGGGCGGCCCGAACCTCGGCAGCGGGAACTCATTCTCAGGAAATGCCCCACATCGCGCCTCCCCTTTCTGCGCGCCGCCGGCAATCTCAACGAGCTGTTCGGAGAATCTGCCAAGTGCTTTGAGAGGGTGTGCTTCACTAGCCACATGCTGACTATGCTCCAGAAGCCCATGGTATTCTGCGTGCGATCCAAGGTCAGCAGGTGGAGGGAAGGAGGGAGGAAGGAGGGAGAAGAAACCAGTGAGGGCGACGGCGATGACAACGAGGAGGATCGAGAAGATGGAGGGCGAAGGAGGATTCCCTTCCTCCTCCTCCTCCTCCTCCTCCTCCTCCTCCTCCTACTCCTCCTCCTCCTCCTCCTCCTCCTCCTCCGCAACCTCGTCCTCTTCGTCGCTCCTCCTCACGTGCCCAGTGACCTCCCTCCTCCTCCTTGTCCTTTCCCAGGCCCTCCGCCCCTCCGCCCGGCGAGGGCCTACGGGCCCCTTTTAACCTACTCTGCAGGTCCGCGCCGTGGGCCTGGCCGACGAGAACCGTAGAGCAGCTACCGCGGACAGGGCGCTCAACGTCATGCGTGGATGGCTGAAGCTCATGGTTGTCGAAATCAATGCTGAATTTCCTGAATGGGAGTTCGCGCAGGCTTTCGCTGTGTTCAATTTGTCGGACGAGCCAGCTGTGCGTGCTCAGCGCGAAGGAACAACGCTTCGTAGACATTTGTGTCGGATAGCTCACGCGCTGCAGTTGGACGAGCCAGCCCTCCACTGGGAGTTCACGTCGCATCTTAGCGATGCCCGTGCGTACTTCATGGACCATGGTGGCTCTTTCAAGACATCGTGGATTCACGCTTGCACGAAATCAAGTGGCCAGCGCCCAAACGCCAACCTGGAAAAGGCGATCCTGGGCTGGCTCGCAACTTCATGTTCCACATCTGGGGTCGAGCAGAATTTCTCCAAGGGCGCGTGGGGCTTCAACGACAGGCAGTTATCCTGCGGCATTGCGCACGAGAGGTCCACGCACAGGCTCCTGCTGTACGATGGCCCGATCGACGACCTCATTGAGGGTGCCCAGCGAGCGTGGAAGCATTGCTTCGGCATTGAGAGGGCGAGCGGCTCCGACAACCGCGAGGAGCGCAGTGACAAGGGCACCAAGCGTGCGCTCAGACAGTCGATGTGTTGACCAATTGGGCCGTCCCCCTCGCCAACCCTCGCCCCTCCCCCAGCCGGGGAGGAGGATCAGTGGGGGGCACGTATCTCCTGGCTTCCCCAGGTCTGACGAGATCACGGAGAAGGGGCTACTGAAGAAGATGCGCAGCTTCCGCGTCCAAGGAGACAGAGGCGCACAGGCGGCCATTGCAGCGCTCGCTGATGGCGCTTGGACAGATGAGCACGACAAGGAACGCACTTTCGCAGAGGACAAGCTGTTCAAACGAAGGGTCGAGGCAAGCCTTGAGGGACTGCTCCTTCCAGATGAGGACAGCGATGTACTACAGTGGCACGCTGCCAACAGAGTTGATGCCATGGTGAAGAACCAGCAGGAGCGGGATCGGCGCGACGCGCGAGGCGGCCTGCATCGGGGAGAAGGGGAGCGGCCATCACCTGAAGACCTGCGAGGGAAGACGTGTTTCGTGCGCAAGTTGGAGCACTGGGACGAGTTGCTGGCCAATGGCGTTGTGATGACGCGGCGTGTTGACCCATGGCTTGCAGAAGTGATTGTGGTTGATGACTTGACCAGCGTGCCGACGTTCTTGAAATGGGTAGCTGCGGTTGTTGGTGCCTATGTAAGTACCCCCACGGAGCTCTCCACATCCACGGGCGCGTGCCTGAAGTACAGCCGCGCCATTGCTTCGTCCCGGTTCATCCACGTCACCGACTGCTTCAAGGCCAATCACCGCCAGTACTACGAGCTCCTGACCACAGCGGCCGGCTTTGCTGATTCCAAGTGGCAGTTTATAGATGCAGCTAACTTCTTGGTCAAGAAAGCGGGTGTATACAAGGACCGCACAGAGGCGTTGGCCCTGGCCACCACCGTCGACATGGAGACTCCGCCATTACAGGGCATCAAGCACGTGTTCGGCGGCCCTGGCTTCCTGGACCTCATCACGAAGGTTGATTTCAATGCATCGGCAAGTGGTATGCTACGGTGCAGCGTGGGCTGAGCAAAAGCATCATCGTCCTTCCTCTTCCTCCTCGCCCTCCTCCTCCTCCTCCTCCTCATCCGCTAAGCCCCCCTCCACCCCGGCAGCTCCTCGCAACGTGACGCGCGGGCGCGGGTGCGAGAGGGGGCACGTGCGAGATGAGGGCGGAGTCGGAGGGGAAGAAGGCGAGGACGAGGAGGGAATGTCGGTTTGGATCTCGCTCCCCACCGTCTCTCGCCCAGCACTCCGTCACGTGACATCTCCTGGCGCTTGGTCAGTCTCGCGCTCGATTCGGTCGCGGCGCCGATCAACTGCTCGACTTGGCACTCGGTCACAACACACCGACCCCGCTCGACTCGGCATTCGGTCACGGCACCGATCCGGCCACCCCTCTCGACTCGGCATTCGGTCACGTCACCGCTCCGGTCACCCCGCTCGACTCGGCACTCGGTCACAGCACCGATCTCACTCGACTCGGCATTCGGTCACATCCCCGACCCCACTCGACTCGGCATGTCACGACCCCGACCCCACTCGACTCGGCACTCGATCACGTGGTCGATCGGTTGATGTGCCCAGGACACCCTGACGAGTCGGAGGTGGGTGGGCGCCCCACCTCAGCACGTCAGTCACCTAGCTTTGCGCCTGACGAGCCGAGGTGGGGACGCACGTTTTCGACTGACGAGCCGAGGTGGGGGAAATCTCACACGCCTTTACCCCACTCGACTCGGCGGTCGCCCGTCCCTCTGCGTGACGAGTGGTGGTTGGGCTCCCACCCACCTCCGACTCGGCAGGGTGTCGGGGCACACGTGACGAACCGAGGTGGGTGGCGCCTGGCCGCCCCTGCCGCCTCCTTGCCCCTCCTCCTCCTCCTCCTCCTCCTCCTCCTCCTCCTCCTCCTCTCCCTCCCTCCCTCCCTCCCTCCCTCCCTCCCTCCCTCCTCCATCCTCCCTCTTCCCTCTTCCCTCCTCCCTCTCCTCCATCCTCGTCTCCTCTTCGCCCATAGCTGTTCGAGTCATCAGGTCTACAAACAGGTCACAGACATGAGACCGATCAGAGTAGGCACCGATTTTTCGGGGATTGACATGCCGATATTTGCTTTGCAAGAGATGGGCGTTGACTACATACATGTGTTCTCATCAGACAACAACGCGGCGTGCAAGAAGGTCATTCTGAACACTCATTCCCCGAAGAGGTTTTACGACGACGCCCAACAACCCAAATCCCAGGATGACAAAACGGACCTCTACATTTCTGGCTTCCAGTGCCAACCCTACGCTGCGGGCGGGAACCACCTGGGGGACGATGACCCCCGTGCCATGGTCGATGAGAGCTTGGACTACATCACAAACTACAAACCCTCGGCGGTTATGATGGAAAACGTCCCTGGCCTGATGACCACGCATAAGAACACCCTGGAGAAGATCACGAGCCGCCTTCATCGGGATGGATACGCCACCAAACACAAGCTCCTGAACTCGAAAGACTTCGGGGTCCACCAGAACCGCCAAAGGCTGTACCTTGTCGCTGTGAGGAAGGACAAGTTGAACAAAAGATCGTACATTCGAATGGCCACAAGCAATGCCCCTGAAAGGACCGCCACCACTGGACCGCCTCAAGTCCGACGAGGACCCCAAGACGCTCCCCTCGAAGACCCTGAACGGTGGTCTGGCTAGGTCTCTCTTGAAACGGTCGATCCGGGAGTGCTTGGCTGGAGATCCGCCTGTTGACCCCAGGAAGACGTGCGTTTTCACTGACATCTTGTGCTCCGAGCAATATTTCACGAAGAGGGTCAAAGTACTGCCTTGCCTTACTTCTCGGCGGGGCCACGGGGGTGGTTTCTGGGTATCCACGAGGGGGAGGTTTACGACTACTGCCGAGCTCTTCCGCTTCCAGGGCCTCCACCCGTCGACGATCGACTATGCGTCCCTCGGGGTCTCGGATCGCCAGATGGGCGCCATGCTCGGCAACACGATGACCCTCCCGGTGTGCGGGCGAGTGCTCCGGATGCTGGTGTACGTGGCTGGGTTGGTTTCTGAGCTGCCCAAGGACCCGTGGGAGAAGAAGTGAGCGGGAGGCTAGATGGGTTGCACATATGCACATATGCACACATGACAATTTGGCTTGCGTGCGTCGCCACGCGAGGAGGGGAACGAACGACACGCACCGTGCAACGCGGGTTGAAAGACTTGTTCACGAATCCCCACCAGCCCATCCTAAAACAGCCACCTTTGCGAAGTGCACTTGTTATCGGGAGTCGTTGGTTTGCTTTCTTTGCTTGAGCACTGGTGACGTCTTGTAAGCCTCTTAGGGTCATCGTAGGGGCGCTTTGGGGGTTCTCTTGGGGCCCTTGGTGGCCTTGGAGCGTCTCTTGGGCAATCTTGGATGCCATGGATCAAACATGCGGTGGGCTATTTTAGCGTTCCCCCATCGGAGCCTTCAAATGAGCCTCTTGATGTCCTCTTGGGGCGCTCTTGGGGTGCTCTTGGGCCGCTCTTGGGCCCCTCTTGGAAACCCTCTCAGGCCATCTTGGAGCCGTCTTCAGGCTTCGCAAACCCATCATAAGCGAAAATGCGGGAAGGCCACCACCATCGGTTTCCGAAGGTTTTGATGGATTCTGCTTTCGCGGTCTTGGGCCCTTGGGGCTTTCTGGCCATCTTCGGGCCCTCGTCGCCACGGCTGGACGAAGGGGTGGTCCTGGCCAGGGTCTGGAGTTCCCGGCCAGGGAAAGGCTTCGCCGCCCAGGGCCTCCGCCGTCCCCCCACCCAGCCCAGGGCCAGCCTGCAGACTCAGAACCACGGATCCAGGCTGGGGCCGTCGTTCCGATGGCTTGCCGCCGATGGCGGACATCCCGTAGGGGGCCGCCGAACGCCATCGTCGAGGTGCTGCACAACTACATCCTACGCTTCGCGTAGCACGGCCAGTGGCTAGTTGGTTGGTTCTCAGTGTTGGTGTTGGGGGCCTGTAGGGCATCTTTGGGGCCGCTAGTGCAGAGTTAGTTGCTTGACAGTCTTCGCAGTCTCGAGGCCGCTGGCCCAACTTTGCTTGACGCCATAAGTGGGCATCTGTTTAGTTCGATAGTGCAATGATCTAGCGCTGGCCCGCCCGCCCCTGCTGTACCCTCGCGTCCAGATGTTCCCCGCGCGGCCCACCCCTGAGCGGTGAAAACATCGAAAAGGTTGTGTATTGTTTCTCGCGCTGGGCGAAGCTCTGAGCGCGTGAACGACGAAAAACCTATGCGGTGTTTTGGGGCATCCAGGAGGGGGGGGGGCGCGCGGGGAAACGCAATGGGGAAGGGCGGCGGCGTGCGGGAGGGTAAGGGAAGGGGTGAGATGAAAGGAGACGCGGGCGGGTATGGCGGAAGTGGGAGGGAAGGGAGGGTAATATGGGTTGGAGAGCCTCCTCCGCCTCCGACCTCCCACCTCCAATCCTTGCCAAAGCTTTTTTGATCATTATTTCTTTCCAGGCGCCCTTCTGGCACTCCACCTGTCGTCATGCATGCCGCCGCGACCCAAGGGCAAGGCTAAGGCCAAGCCGGCCGCTGTCGCTCCCCCCAACCTCAACTCGAACACGCCGATCTACTCCGACTTCGAGACGAAGCTGGCCAAGATCAAGGGGCACCCGCTCTTAGCGAACATCGAGGATGAGTCCGTGCTGACCATCCCGCAGGGCGGCAGGATGGTTCCTTTCGACGCGCAGAACTACAAGACGTGCATGGAGCAGAACAGCGAATATCAGTGCGCAGGCAACTTCTTTTGGCAGAACGTGATGGTATCACCTACGCCGTCTGTCACCATCCTCAAGAAGAATATCCGCGACGTCGGCAATATGAACTACCCCGACCCCTCGCAACCAGTGCGCTTCATCCCTCACACGATCAACATCGGCATCCCTTCCGTCGACTTCGACCCGACGGCGCACATGGGGAGCCTCTCGCGCATCTCGCCGTGCGAGTACGTGCTCGCAGCGATCGACCGCTGCTCCATGGCAATCGACGCTGAAGCTGATGATGCTACGATCTTGAGCTGGAAGGCGTCTTTCCGTTCGTGTCACTTCATCTTCAAGGCTAGGGCGTCGCCAAATCCGCGTTGAGGCAGCGCTGGCCCAGCCCGTCTTGGGCCTCAGGACTGCCTGGCCCAAGCTGGGATGGGCCAGGGCTGGCCTTGGCGTTGGTTTGGGTCGGCCCCGAAGTTGATCGACATTGAAAACATCCGTTTCGAGTCGATGAACCTCCGCGAGAAGGCCATCGGCGACGCAGCAACAGTCACATGGACAGCCCTGCAGAAAGTGCAGATAGTCATGAACGAGGCCGCGAGGATGCAACACCCCAGTGCCAAAAAGGTTGCTGCTCAGTTCGAGAAGAGGGTTAACTTCGCTCCCAGCTCTGAAAAGTTCGCTGAAGGATTCGTGGACGCGGCGATGACCATCAACAACAGGATGCTGAGCATCCCGGCATGCAGGGTGCTGCTGACCAAACTCGACAACGACATGGGCACCAACGGCCCTCTGAACTCGGTCTACAAGCTCCAAGCGATCGTGTCTAAAGGCCGGACGTCGGCCGCCATCGAGAACATCACTACCTACCTGGTGTTTGGGTTCGAGTGCGGCCACTACGAGATCGAAGACCTATCCGTGAGCAAGCTGCGCAATGGCCAAGTGGAGCTGATGATACTCAAGAGGAGCATGCTGTCCTACTTCATGGACGTGTCGTTTCACGAGCTGGGCTTCCCGCCCGACGACGTCAGCCTGATCCGGCGCAGCTACCAGGACACGGATGCGGTCAAGGCCTGGGCCAAGGCCCCCACAAACGAGAGGCAGCCAGATCTCTTCTGGAAGGCTAGCCTTTGCAAGCCCTCGAACCTCTTCAGCGAGTTCATTGAGAGCATGGTGTACGACGTCAAGTACGACGCCAACCTGAAGCACGCCTTGAAGTATAGCAAGACGCCGCAAAATATCCTCAGCGACTACCAGGCTCCAGGGCATCGTTCCTTCCCCCTCGTTCTCCTCCTCCCCCTCCGCCT